TCGAAGCCTTGTTTTGGCAAAAATTGTCGACACATTGACCTTCATCGTAATATGTTGACTAGCATTAACTTTTATTACGATGCGTTGACTGACGTTGACTTTCATCACAACGCGTTGATCATTGTTGACTTTCATTGCAACGCGTTGACCGGCGTTGACTCACGTCTACGCTTGACCAGCGTTAACTATCATTGCAATCCGTTGACCGGTGTTAACTTTCATTACAACGCGTGGTAGTCCCAAGTGTAGAGGCTGTAATGCCAACTATTGAGGCTTGGTTCTTCTGCATGTATAAATTTCACCTTTACGTCCCGTTAGTTATTTACTTAACCATAGGGGAGTTTTGGTTGTAGGATCAGCTATTGGAGTTGATATGACTATCATTGCAAATGCTTTCAAAGTTCCTCGTGGAGACTTCGGCTGGAATTAATATTGTCTTGGGTGCTTAAGTCATGAGACCAACTAATAAAGTTGGTACATCAATGACTATCGGACTTATATGATTTTTTAGCAAATCCTCAGCCATCAACGGATTTGATAAGCCTTTACCGACTACCGTTTGAGTCGGGTTCGCATGCAGATTGTTTAAGTCTGTTCTGTATGTGACGTTGTGCTAAAATAATGAATTCTTTTAGACTTAGCGTTATAATTTTGAATACATAGACTTAATCATCCATTGTGGGGTGCTCATAGGATTTTTGGCAAACCCTCAGCATCAACGGATTTAATGTGCATTTACCGATTACCATTTGATTCGGGCTAGCATGTGGATTATTTAAGTCCATTCTGCATGTAACGTTGTACTAAAAGATTTAACTCTCTTAGTGCTACGATATTGAATACGTAGACTTCGTCTTTCTCATGGGAATAGACTACCCGACAATGCGTATTAGGCGCTGACTTATCCCTTCTTAGAATTCGGGATAAAATTCCTCACGCGTGTAAGACATGGATTATAGTGTTATTAATAACAACCTGTCATAATATCAAATATGTGGACTTTTGTCATTTTTACGGCGAAAGACTAATCGGCAACACGTGTTAGGCGTTGACTTATCCTTACTCATGATTCAGGATAAAATTTCTCATACGTGTAAGGCACAGATTTTAAAGTTGAAAAATTATGTCTTCTCTTGGGGCAAAGACGAACCCGATGCTGGAGAGGAAGAATTTTATATTCTATCTCCTGCTGAAAGAGAAACTCAAAGTGGGATCTCCACTCTGAGAATCGAAAGGATTTAGATAACTCTAACTGTTTAAATGTTTGATTGTCAAATCTGAAGGGGGTTTTCTTGTTTATCGAGATAAAATTTCGACATTGGCCCTAACTGTTTAAAGGTTTGACCAGAGGGGAGATTAAGACGATCCTAACTGTTTAAAGGTTTGATCGCCCGATGGGGTGGAGGTCTTTCGTTTATCGAAAGGGAATTTTGGTTTTGGTCCTAACTATTTAAAGGTTTGGCTAAGATGGATTTTGAGATGATCCTAACTGTTTAAAGGTTTGATCGTTCAATTTAAAAGTGTACCTCTCATTCATGGAGGGAATCGAGAGGGTATTTTGGTTGTGGTCCTAACTGTTTAAAGGTTTGGCCATATATGAGTTTGAGACGATCCTAACTCTTTAAAGGTTTGATCGTTCAGTTTAAAAGTAAACCACTCGTTCAAGGAAGAAATCGAGAGGGGATTTTTTCTTGTGGTCCTAATTGTTTAAAGGTTTGACCAAGTGGGAGTGGGGTGGTACAAATAACAGTGGGAGTGGGGTGGTACAAATAATGGCGATGAGTATGAAGATTCTGAGTTCAAGAAGTTCTGCTATGATAGTGGCATCAGATTGGAGAGGACAGTGCCAGGTACACCATAACAGAACGACATAGCAGAATGGATGAACATGACATTGACTGAGAGAACCAGAAGCATGCGTCTACAAGCAGGACTTCCAAAGAAGTTCTAGACAGAAGCAATCAACACAGCTGCCTACCTGATTAATCGGGGACCATCAGTACCTTTGGAGCACAAAATACCTGAAGAAGTATGGAGCGGAAAGGATGTAAACTTTTCTCATCTAAGAAACTTTGGTTGTGTTTCATATGTTCATTTGAGTGATCATGTAAGAAACAAACTCGATTCTAAATCTTTGAAATGATATTTTATTGGTTATTGTGGTGATGAGTTTGACTATAAGTTATGGGATGAGCAGAACAAGAAAGTCATCAGAAGCAGGGATGTTGTCTTTAGTAAAGCAGTCCTCTACAAAGATTGTAATGCTGTTCAGTCCACTAGTTCAGTGCAGTCTGAGCTTGTATACTTCGAGCCAGATGATGTTCCAGATGGGAGTAACCTTGAGGCTAGTTCTGATGAGGCAGAAGAAGTAGCAGAAGAGGTGGAGGAAGAGATGATAGATGAGATTACTTCATTGAGGACAGATGCAGATGCAGAGTCTGGTCCACCTGTCAAAGAGTTGAGGCGGACAACTAGAGTACCCAAGCCAAATCCGAAGTATCCATCATTACAGTCCAAGTCTCATTTGAACTACTTATTGTTGAGTGACGGTGGAGCGCCAGAAAGCTATGATGAGGCATGTCGAGTGGGTGATACGAGCAAGTGCGAGCTTGTTATGAAAGATGAGATGATGTCCTTGAACTCTAACAAGACTTGGGAGCTTGCGAAGTTGCCAGTGGGAAAGAAAGCCTTGTTAGAGTTCAAGGACATCATCTTTGACAAATTGGTGTACAGAATCAAGGAGGAGCATGATGGTTCCAAGAGATACAAGGCTAGATTGGTGGTCAAAGGGTTGCAGCAGAAAGAAGGAGTCAACTACACGAAAAACTTCTCTCCTGTAGTCAAATTGACTACTATCAGATCGGTTCTGAGCATTGTTGCAGCTGAGGATCTACATCTCGAGTAATTAGATATGAAGACAGTCTTCTTCCACAGTGACTTAGAAGAAGAGATATACATGCAGCAGCCAGAGGGGTTTACTCATAAAGGCAAAGAGAAGATGGTGTGCAGATTGAAAAAGAGCTTGTATGGTCTGAAACAAGTTCCAAGGCAATAGTACAAAAAGTTTGATTGGTTCATGTAGAGGAATGAATACTCCATGTGCAATGCTGATCATTGATGTTTCTTCAAGAGGCTTGACATCAGCTATGTTATCTTGCTGTTATACATCGACGACATGCTAGTAGTCGGTTCAGATATGGGTAAGATCAAGAAGTTGAAAAAGCAGCTGTCAAGTGAGTTTGACATGAAGGACTTAGGTGCAGGGAAGCAGATTTTGGGGAGGAAGATTAAGAGAGACAGGCTTTTGGGCACACTGCGACTATCTCAGGCCGAGTATATTAGACGGGTGCTTGAGAGGTTTGGGATGAGTGATGCTAAGGCTGTTAGCACACCTTTGGCTAGTCATTTTAGATTGACTAGGGAGCAGTGTCCAGTGACTAATGAGGGGAAAGACTACATGGAGAAAGACGTTTTATGCATGATGTGAAGACTGATTCGCATGGATGTTAAGGAAGATATTTGTCTAATATAAATGTGCCATGCGAATCTTATTTATGCATAGCCCATGATATTTTTATTTTACTTAAAATATGCATAAATGTTTTTTTACTAAATAAATGCATCATAGTCTATTATTACTTCATACAACAAATATTTTATTCCATTATAATAACAAATAAATATTCTTCGTGAATGATTAAAACGGGGAGTGACCTATAAGTAGTTCTATGAATCCCCTAATTTAGCTTCAAGTTGAAAATTCACGGTGGACATAATCCCACTGTGCATAAACAATGTTCTATATAATTAAAATTTTTTAAAAAGGAAAAATACGGGGTACCTTTCATGATGCTTCTCTTCACGAGAATTTTTGGAGGATCTCGTGGAAAAATTTTCTTTAATGAAAAGTGCGAAGCTTTTTTTTCTTATGGAAAGTGCAGAGCGTTACATGGTAACGCGGTAAAAATTATAGCGTAAAATATTAGTTAGTTGGAGAATTCTAACTAATCATAAATTATGTTTTCCTCCTAAATTGTATTTTTAAAATAACCTTTTTACCTAATCGAAATTATAGTTAATTACAATTTTGGGTGTGGAACATCTCCTAACCGTCAAATCTATCAATCTAGATATGTGAGAGCTATTTTTAAGGAATTTATTTACAGATATGTCACCGGTGCTCCAACAAATCTTCATAGAGCACGAAGCTGCAGGCATCAAATATAGTCATGACATTTGGACCGTTCAAAAATAAGGTATTCTTAAAGCTTATGAAGAAAAGCATAAGTTATATGGTACAATCTTGCATAAATTATTATCAATCTGAAATTATTTTAGATTATTGAATCCGAAAATAAATTAGATTAATTTCCTTCAATGGTATCAGACTCTGAAGTTTCTAAGGAGTGGAACCAACAAGTTATCAGATCACTTGACCAACCAAATATTTGAACACATTCATAGGCGTGGGTGGACCCGGAAATCAGCGAAAGAATTATATAAATTCAATATAATCAACATAAATCAGCCTAAATGGTTCGAAGGTTACTAGTCAATATCTCGATGTTTAATGTATCAAAAAAATATAATTATCAAGTTAAAAAATGAGAGAGAGTTTTCATTTTTTTAATGACAAAACAAATAATGCCTCCCATCGCTAACGCTCTCCACGTGGGAGCGCCCCATTCACATCTACATCAGCGTGTACAGCTCTCGAGTCTACGCCCTCGCCTCTCTCGTTTGCATCATACCTTACGCAATTTTCTGATTGCCCCCACCGTCACCGCCTCAATCACAAAGTAAAGCGGGGCCCAACTGTGGCCCCCACCCGGTTACCTTCTAGATGGCCACGCCACCAAACAGCATTTCAACCACACAGCTGATCTACGCTCATCATCTTGTTCACACTTATTCACACAAAACAAAAAATATCCTATAAATTACCAATAAGTCCACCCTTTGATCTCATCACCGAGACATTTTTTTTCTACGTGCTCTGTTCTCGCACTATTCTCTCATTTAGAAATCCCATACTGTAGTTTTATTACTATTATTCTCGTACCCACCTTATTCACAAACTTTTCATTCCGGTCTTAAAAAACCCCTTTTAAGCTCTTCAAAGATCTGTTCTTTCCCATCGAGGGGTTTTAAAGAAAAAAGCTCCCACATTTAAATACCTCCTTCGTCCTCTTCGCCTAGGCTTGTGATCTCGATATCGGTCTCTGAAATGGCGTCTCCATCTGCGACCTCTGTCCACGATTTCGCTGTCAAGGTCTGATTTTTCTCGTCCTTGTTTTTGAACTTATTGTCATATTTTGGTGATTCCTCTAAAAGGTTTGTTTTTTTTATTTAGAAATCAAGTGGCTTCTCTAGAGCTTCTCGGTTACAGTCTTATTTTGTTGTTTTGGGAAATTTGGAAACTTTATTGTCTTGGAGAAGTAATTTAGGGTTTTATTTCGCTAAGAGGTTAATTAAGGTACCAGACAAAGTTATTTGACCGATAAAATTCTTGGGGTTTATTAAGCTCATCGGGAATTCCCTATTAAGTTTTTTTCTTTTTTTTCTTTTTTAGAATGAATTGTATCAAAATTGTTTGATTAGGTTATTGTTGTATTAAGCAATTTAAAAATTTTATTGAGTAATTCCCTATTAAGGTAGGTTTTTCTTATTGAGAATTAAAATTGTATCAAAATTGTTGATTAGGGTTTTGTTGGTTTAAGCAATTTAAATTTTTCTTGAGTAATTCTCTATTAAGCTAGGCTTTCTTTATTGTAAAATGAAATTTTTATCAAAATTGTTGATTAGGGTTTTGTTGTTTTAAGCAATTTAAAAAATTTCTGGAGTAGGAGAAGTAACTCGGGGTTTGGTTTACCTGAAATCTATTTAATGTTATCTGAATTGCTGCTTTTGATTTGCGATTGCTTAGTGATTTATTAGCTTTGCATCTTTTCAACAAAGATTCTATAGTTCTAGGTTATGAATACATATAAGGATTTGTCTTTAATTTATTCCTGCAGGATGCTAGGGGGAATGATGTGGATCTCAGCACTTACAAGGGGAAGGTCCTTTTGATTGTGAATGTTGCATCTCAATGGTAAGAGTATAATTTTTATTACTTCATTGTTTGGTTCTTTCTGGATTGTTTCAGATATTACTTTTATTAAGTATGCCTTCATTTTTTCATGTTTTGCACTTAGTCCAATTCTACTGTTTTCTTAATTGCAGCGGGTTGACTAACTCTAACTATACAGAGCTGAGCCAACTGTATGAGAAATACAAGGATCAAGGTACTTTCATACTCATTCACTTTAGATAACCTATCATTTCTTAGCAGTGTCATCTGTAAAAGCGTTGTTCTCCTATATGTTGTCTACTCTTATTGCTTGAGCTCAAATGCTGCTACCAGCAAGTAATCATCTTGAATGTGAAAGTTTTTTTTTTGTTGGAACTGCAAGGAAATTTGAAGATGTCCTTTGGGATGCTTGACATTGATGTTAACTCTAATGAGAAATGAGAATATATGCTAGGAAATCCCCTTTGAAATAAGAACTTCCAGCCTATTTGTGGAAAAGGATATATTAGGTGTTACTCTTAATTTTTTTGGCTTATATTCGAACTTGGAAAACCTTTGCAGGAAAATCTTACGTTTTTTGGATCATGCCTCATAACTAACCCATCTTGATGGAAACGAGTTGTATGGTATGATGATGATAATCAATTTCCTAATTTCTATAGAAGATAAAATATGTTTATTGAATGAATATATAAACTTTACCATAATTTCATTTTAATACTACATTATTTATCTTTACACAAATGATAAGAGGAAGCTGCTACTGAAACTCTTAGACTTTCAATTATTGATGTTAACCTTCTCCTGTGCCAATTTACCATTAATGCAGAAAAGCCAACATGGCCTTATACTGTATTAATTAAAATGGTCCTCTCCCTTGCTTCAAAAAAATTGCTTAGCTCTTTGGTAATTACAGGACATTGGGAGGAAGAAATGATGGGAATGAAAGGAATGGGAGAAAATAAATCCTGTTGTGAATACAAGTTTTAAGGAAGAGTAGAGACTTAAATTCCTATTCTGTTGATGGTGGAATGCACCGTGAAAGGAAGAATGTTTAAGCTACCAAGTACAAAACTAAGTAGACTTGCCATTGTCCAATTGATTCTGATAATAACCAGCAAGCAATTAGGGATTATGTGCTCCTGATGGCAGGAGATCCTGGAAATATTTAATTTCTGCAAATAATTGCCCTTCAGAGTGAGTTGCAAACTGGGTTAGGGCTAAGGTGTGAGCAGTTCTTGTGATTCTAACAGGCTCCTGGCATCTAAGATAAAATATGAAGAGAATTTTCAGCAATTTTTTCTAAATTTAAGTATTAAAATTTAAGTTTGGGATGCGTTTCAGTATTAAAATTTAAGTTGACAACACTATGTATTTTCCATGTTCAAATGATTTAAATATATGAAATGATTATGTTTACTGTGCTTGGAGAATAATTTTTTTCTCTGCTTCTTCAAGCCTGCACGCCCCACCCCCCACCGACCCGCCTCACCACCCAACACACACACAAAACAAACAAACAAATGAAATATATAGAGTATAAAATACAACCCCAACCACAACAACCAAAAAGCAACACACACAAATTACAGATGCAGATACTCCCATGTTCGTGGCATGTACCGTTATAGATTTTCATATGCTTTATTGTTTTTTTAATTCGTTGCTTATCCATGTCAGTGACATAACTACAGATTGGGTTGTGGTTGTCATTTTCTCACTCACACTGTGCCTTTTGAAGAACTGTTTTGCTAATTGTTACTTTCGATATACTTATTCCTTATGATCAGTGTTGAAGTTCGTCCTTTCCCTTCATATCTTACATAACTCTTTTGTACATTCTAGGTTTCGAGATTTTGGCTTTCCCTTGCAACCAGTTTGGAGCACAGGAACCAGGTAGTAACGAGGAGATTGTGGAATTTGCTTGCACACGCTTCAAGGCTGAGTATCCCATCTTTGACAAGGTATATACCAAAAATATCATTTATTTGTAAATCATAAATATACACTTTTTTGTTCTCTAATTATCAGAACTAGTTATTTTTATATTTATTCCCTATTGTATGGCAAGTATAATGTTATTCAACACTTTTGCCTACATTTTTGTATGTTTCGCTACTCTCTTTACATTCCCCTTAATTGAATTGGATGGTTTTCCTCCATTTTCACTCAAATACTAGGATCATAGAACCTGCTGGAAGTTTTTATGGGAGTACATGAAGCATTAAACTAATTATTTTATGAGCCACAGTCCTCACCGTCTACATTTGTTTGTGTGGTCCTTTCATGTTTCCTTTATATGAGAAATTTGAATTACGAAAGGGAAATAGTTGCTTGACCCTTACACATATGATCTCTGCAGTCACAATAATGACCCTGTATTATATATTGTAGTTTGTCATAATCATTTGAAATGAACGCCAGGACTTTGATATATTTTTCCCAGTTTATTTAATGTATACTCCTATGTGATATAGGTTGATGTGAATGGGGACAAAGCTGCACCAATCTACAAGTTCTTGAAGTCCAGCAAGGGAGGCCTATTTGGAGATAGCATCAAGTGGAACTTCTCAAAGTTTTTGGTTGACAAGGATGGGAAAGTTGTGGATCGCTATGCACCCACTACTTCCCCTTTCAGTATTGAGGTAAGAGAGACGTTGAACCTCACAGAATTTTGATTTTGGTTATGACTCATGTAGAATCTATATTTAATGTGATTTCCTCTGTTTGCAGAAGGACATAAAGAAGTTATTGGGAGTCGCCTAAATTCTGTGATGGTTGGATCCAGACCTTGATTAATAAATACCTTGCCGGGTCTCTCTGTATGCTGGAGTTCATGATACTATGCTTGTTTACTTACTTGTATTGAATCTACTTCAGTTCCAAAAGCCTCCTTTTGTGGGTGGCTAGTAGTAGAATGTTATGATGCATAATACACTGTATAAGCTTGTGATATATTACTCGAAAGTGCGGCTATTTTATCTGTTTGTGAAGTTTATGTAACTTATTATTAAGCTGTGGTTTAAATTGCTACTCTCTTCTTCTTCTGGTGGATACTGTTTTTGAGTGCCTTCGTTTTATGAAATATTGCAATGTTATGCTATTATGATGTTGATGGTTAAATAGTCCAGTGCCCTTTCTTCTTCGCAAATCCGCTGCCCTTGCTTTTGGGTTCAGACTAGCTATGAATGCCTCCTTTGGGTTCCCATGGAATTCCATGATTTCAGCTGGATGAGCGGTGCAAATTCATGAGGTTTTTAGTTACATCCAGCCTTGGTCTCATATGGAGCAACATTGATTAGGCTAGTTATAAAGGTTTCCACCTATTTCCTCTGCCTGGTCATTTCAGGTATTTGTTGGACATAGGATAGACATAAAGATTAAATCACCCCATGTATTATTTGGACAATTTTCTCTTCCATGTTACATATGGTGAACGCGGCTTTTAAGATGTACTTCCAGCTGCAGTTAACAGCGATCCCTGTAACTAGTGGGAAGGACCGTAATTTTCTTCAGTATGCCTCTTCTGTATGTGTTGGACCTAAGGTATTACTCATATGTATATAAGTTTACTGGCAAATCTCCATCTTTCCAATTTTACAGTTCTGAGAAGTAACTGCAATTCTCGCATACTACCTAACAATATGATCGATTTATAAGCAAGTAGACGAGAAAAGGATAAAAAGGCAAGCAAGCATGCAGTTATAAATAATTAACTGAGGATACCGGTTAGAACTGCTGTGAACAATAACTTTACATTTCTACAAGGAATTCACAATATGAATTCTTTGTCAAACAACCAGTTCCCAATCTAGCAGATCACAAAGACACAGAACAATAAAGCCTGCAAGAAACCGGCATTTTATGCGAAAGAATGATGCCATCATTGAATTATACACTTCTCATGATGATTTTTTACTTATTTGAGACAGATACATGCTACATAGAAGTACAAACATGTTCTACTGATCAAAGCTCCACCTGCTCATGGAAATTTCATAACATCCTAGATATGACTTGAAAATTGCCAGATTGAACATTATGATACAGAATCCTAGTTATAAATTACACTTGATAGTGAAACTTCTCACCGATCTCTTATGCATGTATTATTGCCCTTCAAGGTAGAGGTTCACGAAACAAGAAATACTTCCCCCGCCTACTATTCTCATGTTCTTTTTTCTACTTCTTAACTTGTTTTTTTTCTCTTCTACTTCCTACAAGAATGTTTTGGCCTCATCATGTTACAGAAAAAACTGTCAGCCTCTTCAGTACCTTGATCCAGAACAATTTGTTGGTCAGTAATCTATGCTTTCTTCTCTTCTGATGCTGCTCCTGCTCCTGGCTTTTTGGTTCTAGTTACTTTGCTAGCGGGGAAGTGTAGCCTTGCAAAGAGAGGCCTTGGTGCTCTTGCTGTCCGATCAAATCCCCTCACACACACAAACCCTGAGGAATTTACAAAGAAAATTATAATTTTTATTTTACATTTCATTTCAGAGTCGAACCAATATGGAAATGAAAAAAATATTAAAAAATAATGATAAACTCAAGCTGATTTATAATATTTTCCCCAAGCGTAAGGGAATGTAAAAGTCATTAAAACCAGTTTCAAAAAGGTGTTGCTTAAAGTATGTGCTATGCTCCTATATTTCAAAGTTATCGTATTTCTTTCTTTTTTTTATAGAAAAAATTTCTCGCACTTCCTACTGGATTAAGTTCTATATGTCCAGGAGTTGAAACATAGGAACAAAAAGAAAATATAAAAACACCAATTTAGAAACTCAGAAATATGTTTAATTTCCTGTCAACAGAGGAACAACTGCGCCAGAAAGCAGAAAAAGGATTGGAACAGAAACACTGCACGGGGGTGGGGGGGTTGATCCATGTTTGGTTGCAAATTTTGCAGGAAAATAAAGTAGACATTTTACCTTGTCTGAATTCAACTTAAATCATAATTGTTTTAGCCTGTATAATGCTGACAATGATAATGATAGTTTGACGTATACAAGCAATGTTTTTTTGTGCTTTGTTGTTCACAAAGACTATGGATCATATTGAATAGATTCACCTCCTGGATGTATATTGACTTACTGTACATAGATTTTTAAATATAAGCTTATCCTCAAAACAAGAAGGAAAAACAAAAAGAGACCGGATACATTCAAGGTCAGATTCAAAGAAAATATTGTAGTCACTGGTTTTATGCAGAAAAATGGTGTTGCCTAATTTTGATACCTATGACCCAACTGCTAAAAATTAGTGCCACAATGGTATTAGTAGTTTTAGCCTCTTTCTAAGAACTTGTATACCAAAGGACATAAAACTGCCTCTATAGTGACATAAAAAGATTTGCATTTTGCATGCAAAGCAACGTTCTGAAGAATTTGCATGAAAACTCAGGAAATAAAGCTACAGAACTACTCACCACATATACCCTCTTCCTATTTAAAAATTATAGAAAATAATCTATTATCAGCATTACATACCTCTCCAAAAGCAGTGTTGTATCCCTTCAGTTGTAAGTCCTACCAATATAGACGATTTACATGCTGTCAGTACATTGTTCATAATATTAATATTAACAGAGACAAAAATATCAGGTCTTCGTGTTAATACCTTTAAATATTGATGGTATAGATGTTCCGAAATAAACAGTTCTTCTCGGAAGATTCCATATCCAGTCCCTTGGAACATCAATGGGGTTACGGCTAGAATCATGATCCGCAAATACCTGCATCAAAATTATATTTGTTAAGTATTTGCACAATTGCTGTCATTTGCATTATTCAAATTTATCATAAGGACACCACATTTACCTCGTTAACTTGAAAATATGTGCCATTGAGAGGAAAGCTTCCTCTATTTGCTGTCCTACATGGAATCTGTTAAAGTTGATATAACAATTAACAATAATCATTAGTCTTCTCGTCTATATACAAACATATACCTCAGTGATGGTTCATCATTAGGGGTGGTAAACGATTGAAACGAATACTAAGGTGTTCATATTTGTATTTGTTTAAAATTATCGAATTCGAATGTGGACTCTAATATTCATATATCTAGTTTTTATCGAATTCGAATGTGGACTCTAATATTCATATATCTAGTTTTTCGAATTCGAACTCGAATACTTGGTATTTGATAAATATTCATGAATATTCACGAATACTTATCGAATATCAAAGTATATTTATTCCGCTAAAGAGTTTGATTATCAAATATTATTAAAATTCTTAAATAAAAATTATTCCTTTATAACATATGATGTATATATATTTAAATCAAAATTTTAATTAGAAAACATATTTAAGATAATTTAAGCCTTAAAATCAGTATATAAAACTTAAATAGAAATAAGTGGATTAAAAATATGACATCATATGTGCAATAATACAAATAATAAGCTTTGATCAAATTTTAAACAAATATTTAATAGACAAACGAATTGAATATACATCTGGTTAAATTCTATTCATTAGTAAATGAACTACTGAATCGAATATGACCGAATAGTTATTCAAACAATTATTGAATTATTTATTAATTATTTGGTTCATTTCCACCCCTATTCATCATTAAAGAGGGTTAATTTCACAAAATCCCCTGAACTTTGGGGAATTTTGCGCATGACCCCCCTAAAGAAGGGGTGTGCTGAGAAAAGTTTTTTTTTTTGCGTCGCCCGCGCGGGGGGGGGGGGGGGGCGGTTGAAATTAATTAATTGTTGAATATAAGATGTTAAAATTCATCATAGATAAGTAATTAGCATTACCAAAAGTGTCCCCCTGACCGTTTGCGCTTGTGCTTCTCTTATACTGTTGCAACTAAAGCAAGTATTCCGGTTGCACAATTTACCGGCATCCTGAGAGTTGCAGCATGCAGTCGGGGGCTCAATTGATTGAGCAGTCTCCCCTATTAACATGTCATTGACAGTACATAATTAATAAAATTATAATCGAGCATGTCTTAGATTTCCAACTACAACTAAATTTGCTTGCCTGGAGTCCATATAGCTAACAGGTAAGGGCAGGGATCATCCACCTCTCTTTTTTCCAGCTGCTACAGATTAAGGAGAAAATATATAGCATGGTCTAAAATCATGCAAATCGGAAAATATTTGCAGATAAGAAAATATCTTACTCCTTCTAAGAGAGGATGTGAATCTGGTAGTTCATAACTGCAAGGATTGAAAGATAAGGTCAGATTGTATAATAATAACTTTAGTGCATCATTTTAAAGGATAATAGTATAACAACATACACTAGATGTTCCGTTCGCAACCGGTTAACATTCTTGAGCTTAGGCATGGGGATCGATGCAGCTTCTGGAGTTATGGCGACCAACGCCTTTGACATATCACCATCCATGTAATTTTGCAAATTCTGAGTGAACTCTTCAAAATTGAGCTTTATTGTAGGAATTTCGTCCGGATCATTATAAAAAGCATCTTCTATATCGATTTCTGTAGTTTCTATAAATTCGGGCTCAGGTGATGAAGGTTCCTCAATGATAGGCTCACAGTTTCCAGAAGCTGTTTGTTCTCTTGAGTGTGTAATCCCTTCAAGTTGAGGCAGGGAGAGTGGTACGGGAACCGAGCCATAGCTTCTAGTAGAGGAAACGGGAATTGTTGAGCTCACCATACGTTTCTCCTCTGGTCCTGGAAGAGCGAGCCTCGCACTGAAAGACAAATGCGGTAATAAGAACCACTGACATATATAGTATTCCAAACCAAAAATTTTCCAGAATTTTAGCTAATCTATGCATCACTAACATCTAGGAAATACAATTTATATAATCTTCCAAATGAAATTACTAACTCCGCTAGTGTTATGTTTTGTTTTATTGCTGGTATTCTCTATCCCAGGCCACGATAATAGAGGAGGGTTGCATTAATAGCCAACAGTTAGCATAAAACATTGTCAGATCTACCTAACATGAATCTTATAGGAAGCATAGGATTCATGTAGCTAATCCCAGTAGCTGATCCCAGAAAGTCGGGACAAAGGCTTTGTTGTTGTTTTTCCAAATAAAATTACTATGGCTACAACGGCTTTTAATGTTTATTGGCAATCTTTCAGATTAGAAAGGAAACTATGCCACGCGACTTCAAATTAGGAAAATTCTTTTGGAGATATTTGAATCTAGAGTTGTGCAAACATTTTTACAACATTGTCTTTTTAGAAGAAAGAATGCAGGGTTAGACCAAACCTGACTCCAGCTTGACTTAACATTTTATTAGCATGAGATGAATTTGGTGTATCCATGGCTAGCATTAAGGGTTCGCAATATTTTGAATGAGTGGCCTTATAGAAAATGTGCTGAAACTTCTGTATAAGTTGCCAGAAGGACTCATCATCCATCTGTATTAATTGGAGCAGCAAAACAACTTACCGTACTTGAAAGTATTTCAATTTAAGTTATTTTTGAAGTATCCATTATACCTAGCAAATGCACTTGCAAAGTGTTTGCATTCTCCTCTCATTGGGCAAGCATTACAATTTGGTTTGCTCTTTGTACAGAAAACCTGCATGAAATTTCATATAATTTGCTTTATCATGCATATTAATCAACCCATTACTTGCATATAGTACTGAAATAAGCTGAAAGAATCACCTTGCCAAAAGTAATTAACTGGTAGTGTAGCTCATACCTGGAAAGTTAAGACATAAGACTAGAATTAGTTGATTTACATGTCAATGCATAAAATTGTTAATATATATACGAAAATAAAAGGAACATTGGAATAGGGTTGTAGAGTGTACAGTGTACGCTGATCAAGTTTACATAGCCGAGGCCAAAGGTACTTTTGAATTGTCTCCAATATAGGGTACCTTCATTGAATATGAGGGGGGGAAAGGTAATGGCTGATTCCATTTAGTATATATTTGCAGTTGAGAAGCTCTCTATAGAATTAACAATGTCTAGATGCTTACATTTCTAAAAGATGCAACTGAAGAGACTCTGGCAGAGGTTGAAGTGGTACCCATCCAAGCCTCACAGCTATGCGACCAACATTTGTGTCAACCTTGTAAATGATACAAACTGATGAAACATAAACGCAAGATTTAACAAATCTTTTAACTATGTATGGTAGTCCTTTAAGATGGGAGTCCTTACAGGAAAAGCTAGATGGTGAAGTGTCAAAAGCCGAACACATTCAACACTCTTGAGCCCCAGTCCCCTTATGCTAAGAAGGTAGTCCCTGAAAGTACCAGAAGAAATTATACCCTGAAAACTTACAGTAAAAGTTAAGTCTGACATAATCTGGAGAAAAGACAACAATCATAGACATTTGAAGCCTGAATTTTCAAGATGCTTCACATGAAAATGGAGCAAACTGAAAAATTAGGACGAATATTGAAATATAAGGATGAAAGTGCAAACTTTTTTTTACTGCTGGTTTAAGGAAACTCCTAGCTCAATCACTTTTTACAGTATCACTGGTATGAACAATAGAACCAATACATGATTTACATTATATCTTACTTTGCTTTGTCCGGCGGAATGTCTCTTAACCATTCGAGATCAATGCTTCCATGATCTTGAACTAGCCGATTGAGGAAGTCCTGGAAAAAGTTAAATCATAATTAAAGTAACCATTTTGGGGAAAGGAAAGTCAGCTGTAAATTGGTCTTGCATTAGATTTTATGCCTAGAGATGCTAATTAAAATATAGGGGAAGTACTTTTTGTCATTACATACTTAAAGAAAACCAGTCACCACAAGAACAAAGTTAATGTTGTTTTACTGAATAAACTGCAAAGCAGTATGTGTATATAAATAAACTCAAAGATAACTTCTGTCTAGAACATTTTTCTAGGCTTACCTTAATTCGTTCAGCCAGCATATTGTTCATCCCTCTCTCACGGATAGCATTTGATATTTCATTTACATCCGCATTCCTTAATGCTTCATAATCCAGCGAGTCCATTGCGTCACTGCTCCGTTCTTTTTTTGCACCATCTTTTTGTACCTTCTTCCTCAGACTATCCCAATCATAGGTCTTCTTCTCACTCTCAATTTTTCCATTTTTAACCTTTGATTCCTTGTTCAGAGTTTCAGATGAAACCTTTTGGGATGTGTTTGCTTCGTTTCTTAATTTTGATTCAGCTACACCTCCGGCAACCAAATTGTTCCTCTGGTTGTCATTGTGTAAATTTGAATAAGGTTGAGGTGTTTGAACTGCTTGGTGAGTTGTTTCCAAATGAACTTCTGCATGAGGGGCAGCTTTAACGCTGGTTGAACTTTCTGTATATGCACCAAATTGTCCATTGGTTGTCTCATTAATAGTCCTTTGATTTAAACCAAAAGCAGATGGATGCAAATTAGACTGGTTATAATCATTTATGAAAACGTCAGATCTCTCTGTTCTCAAAGATCCAGAGCTTGAGAAATTTTGATAACTGTAAGATGCAGTACCACACAAACTTGACCAGTCAATAAAACCACTATGATCCGCGGATAGCATCCCTTCATTGCCAGTAGCTTTCAAGTTATTCAGCACTCTTCCATCTGCCATCTCCAGAAGCTCTCTGAATGAACTGACGCCATTGCCCCTTCGTCTAGTTAGCAACTCATCAGCTTCAGAGTTCAATGATGGACTTGGTTTAAACTGCTCAGTTGTTTGAGCTGGCAATTCTGACGAACTGTGAGATGAAGCTGCAGAATTCTGCGATGAAACAACATCATCGGATGACTTCTTGTCATCACCTTCTACTGCACTTGTACAGCTAGTGACAGTAATGGCAGTGCCCAAAACGCTGTCCGGTGATTCATGACCTAATCCTAGCCCTATTTCATGAAAATCCAGAATGCTACTGCCTACATTATCGCTTTCAAGTGACTCATTGCTGGGAGCCATTTCTTTATTATGCATTTGCACAGGTTGCTTGGGGCTTGATGAGCTTTGGCCACATATCTCTGGCTCTGATACTTCTTCTATAGATCTGCTTATAGTTTCCACATTAGCACTCCTGTTGTTATCCTTTAACCGAGGAGGATACCTCGCAGCAAGGCACATGAATGCTGAGCTGTTAAAATCAAAGATGGAAAACCGTGACCAAATGAATGAAACAACTTCTAGCTTTCATTCTCCATTTTAATCTCAAATTTGCTTAAAAAATCAGGAGAAATTTTATGATCAGGGGTAACAAAATAAACATGATATTTCTCCAATTTAAGGGATGAGTTTTCACCTTGAAAGATGGTCGGAGACATTCTGCGTAAGAAAAACACCAATTACTGAATCCACAACTGATCCCTTCCACTTGGAGAAGCGTCTATCACCTGGAAAAGGGACGTAATAACTTAAGAGAAGTGCAAATTCACAATTAAATTTGTCACTACCAGTACCACATAACTATAATATGATGTCTTATGCTGGGTCTCTTAATTTGGAATAATACATACAACACCAGTCAACAAAGAGAAAAATGCATGCATTTAGATACCTATCACCAGATAAGTCTGAAGCTTTTCATATACTTCATTTTTCTTAATTTCTGTTCAAAAGTTATAAATATAACATTTAACAACAAGCAGAACAATGCATTAAATACCTATTATCAAAAAAAAAAAAATCTGAAGCTTATATAATCAAAATTTGTTAATTTAAGTTCAGTAACATTTTAGTTTAGCATATAAATTGAGACAAGGATCTCTTGGAATTACAAAACAATTACAAAACATGATAGATTAAGTAAGTCTCGTCTATTTATGTTTTTATATAGAACTAGACAAAGTAAAGGGTAGGCAGGTACTACACGTCTGAATAAAATTTGGGGACATAGTTTAACATTTCCTATGTGAATTTGTTAAAAAATGTGAGCATAATGGAGCAAACAATTGGTTGACCAACTGCAAATAAATTAACTATGTTGTAAAGCAAGCCTAATGATATTATTACACTCGAATCTGAAACATTGGCAATGCTTCCTTGTTAATCTCTTCTAATATTGTAAGAGAAGCGCATAGGCAATCCTATTGAGCATAAATTTCCACAATCATCCTGCATAAATGTGTTATTCCATAAAAGTAGACTCTTACCATAATCTTGCAATCAAACCACTGTAATTCAAAATTAAATGACCACCCAGGCCGGCAGATTTCATTTGTTAGTTGCAGTTAAGTCAAAATTTTGCTCAGTACAGTTTTTTTCCTCACATAAATACTTAAAAGAGTAAAATTAGCATATCGGTCAGATGTAAAGATTATTAATCATAAAGAAAGAACAATAATAATACCTTGGATCAGATGCATCCTAGCAATGAATGAGTCTGCACGACCACGAAAAATTCGTCTTTCTTCCTCCCACCACTTCTCCTTATCTATGTTTGTTCCCTTGCCTTCACCACTTTCCTTTCCCATCAAAAGTCTCCATACCCGATCTGACTCGGGATCCAAATCAACCTTTGGCCTAGGTTTCCGCTTCTTGATAAGATTGTCGTCAAAGGGAACTATAGCACCACTTCCACCAGCATAAGGAACTAGCGCATTTTGTGGTTGAATTGCAACAACAACTCCATCACTGCCATTTATGTCCAAATGCTTCAATCTTTGAACAATTTCCTCCAAAGGATCCCCATATTGTACAAGTACCCTCGTCTGGACATTTGTGGCCATGGAATTAACAAGATGTTCTTTTTCCTTTTTCTTCTGCCTTCTAGCCTTTGGTTTTGTTTGCTTTTCAGTAAGAACCTCAACACGAGCTTTGGGTCCATAAACCTCATTTGCCTGACAATTATTACTGTATATTGATGTTTTTTCAGGAGTTGGAGGTTGGTTACTGTTCATTGTAGGACTTAAGATTGGTATCTGATCTTGAACTTGTTTGTAGCTTGCCTGCCTCTCGTAGTAATCAAATGTCAATGTATGCTTTGATGATTGCATTCTCCCATGGGCCATCAACCTTTGTGCATCTGCAAAGGTGAAACTAGTAGTTTGCATCGTATGGATAGGTTTGCAACCACTAGAAGGAGGACAAGACGACATAGACGAAGCATTATGTGTGGACTCATTCTGATCATTTTCTACTCTCCTTCTCTTGTGAGTATCAGTGTAGTTCACATTGCAGTTTCCATTTGTCCTGCTGATTCTGTTGTAGTCTCCATTTCCCACTTGAAGTAGCAGATCTGAGCTTCCATTTGAAGCAACCGGGACTTGGGCCACATGTGAATTTCTCACTTCATTGCCTTGAATGTTTCGACAATTCATCATCCTAGCAAGTTTCTTCAAATTCTCTCCCTCTCTTCTAGCAGGCTGCTGAGATGATGAGTTCATGTCATTTACCATTTTTTCATAGTCAGCCTGCCATTTCATTTTCATCATTTCCAACCTCGAAGGCTGAGGAGGTTGATTTGGAGTTTGTGGAACTCTTAGATTCTCATTGCCAGATGGATTCATCGAACTGTTGAGACTAAATTCAATACCATGGTCAATTGAACTCTCTAAAACAACCGAGTCCTGCCCTTGGGAGCTAACAACAGTTTCTTTCCTTAATCCTGTTAATTGATCTTCTGCAGCTTGAGACTCTGCTAAATCAAAATTCAAACTTCGCCTAACTGGCTTCTTCCTACTGCTGCTATCTTGATCAGCAATATTTTCTGGTGCATTTGTGGGGGTCTCTTTCTCTAGTGGGCTTTCACCTTTATTTTTCCTCACATATTTCCTCTTTCCACTTGGATTTTCTACAGATTTTGGAGGCTTAGGAGTTGCAGGTTTTCTTGGTGCTCTAGCAGGTTTTCCTTCTCTAATCACTTTTGGTGTATACTTCCTCCTCTTTGGCTTATTTTGAGGAGTCTTATTCAAATCTATTCCTTGATTCTCTCCATCGGCTTGCTGAACAATGGTTTCTTCAGATGAATTTGCAACCACATTTCTCTCCTCTAACTGATTTTGGGAAGTAACAACCTGAGAACAGTCCACCTGATTTGAAAAAGACTGTTCTGCTGGTTTCTCTGCAGCAAATGGTGAGAATCTTCCAGATCCATTCATCAGTAGATCCTGAAAGCTTGTTGTTTCATCATTCAAATCCAGATCGATAACCTCATGAGGCTTATCTACTGTAGTTTGTTGCAATTTTCCAGACTCATTCCATAGCAGATCCTGGAAGCTTGCCACATTACTAACCGAACCCAAATCTTTTATCCTTTCCATCTGGTTCTTCTCCATGGTTGCTGGAGGTGCTGGGTAGTTCATCAGATCATTGACAACTCTGCTCGCCGTGTTATTATCAGGCAACAAGTTAAGATTTGGTAAGTAAGGAAAGGACATTCTATCTGCAAACCGAGAAAATACACAAATTAACAGACTGAAATGCACAGCAACTTTAAAGAACAAGAAATTCTAACCAACTTATCATGCCCCCAAACCTGCATCGTAGCTTAAGGTACATGAAAAAAGCAACTTGCTCAAGAGTGAATGCTAAACTTGTTATTCACTTCAATATCATAAAACAATGAGTAGTGATAACCAGGCTCTACAAACCCCCATACTACTTCTGCTGCTAAAAATAAAAAGGTGGGGACCTTGACGACTCATCATTTATTATTGCACTTCAAGAGGAAGCATTGCACGCTGCTGTTCCAAATAGTTCGAAAGTAGTATGAAAATAGAATGAAATTTGTAGCCTAGATAGTATTATCCTCAAACAATATTTCAAGAAAAAAAGACTTTGCTATAGACTGTAGTAACTAGTTTATGGGTGATATAGTTTGTCTTGTTACAATCTTCAGCACTTTATGGAACTTTTAATATAAGTACAGTTATTTTTTGTGAAAGTGCACGACAGGCTTATCTATGCAACGAATTTGATTAGTGACACCAACTTATTCTATCAACTACTAGGAAAAAAGAATACTCACACTGAGGTTTCGGTGCTAATGGCGGCAAAGACGAGTTCCTACCATTCACCATTAACCGATTCTGGTTCAAGAACTCAGCATTCATCTCCTGATTACTACGACCAATTCGACCAATCATAATCGGAGCTACATTCATCTGCCTCATGATCGCCGGATCATTAGTCGCCAGCAGTCTAGTGTAGGGCATCTGAGTTATTCCCTCGCCATGAAATAGCAATGTCCGTAGCTCACCGGAGTCAGCGTTGGCGACGCCGGAATTGAACCAGTTAGGATTTAAGATCACCGGAGTTGGCGCCGGCGGCCCCTTTAGTGGGATGGGCTTTGCTGGGGTCACTGGAACCCATTGACCCCGATTCCCAAAGTCCTTTGGAACCTCCATTCCAAAAGATAGACAATGGAGGAAAAACTAAGGGACAAAGTTGGGATTTTTATTTCCAAATTGAGGTTTCTCTCATTTCTCAGCTCCTAAGTTTGAGACCCATTGTTGACATCAACAACCAAGAAAGAGATCTCCTCAAACAAAAGGAAATCTAAGAGAGTGAAAAACAAAGAGCAAATTTATTGAAGGATCTTAAAGGATTTCACAGCCAAATCACTCAAAACTCTGAGATCTCTCACAACACCCAGAATCCAGCGAGAGGAATTAAAAGCAGAAGAAACCAAAAGGAAAATGCATGGATTGTGAATCCTGATGCATTTGGTAACAACCATTAAAGAGCTCTAAATTCACTGAATCTTGATACCAAATCAAGAAAACAACAAAAAGGGGGGAAACCCCAATCTGGGTTCGCTCAGAAATCGACCAAATTCTCTGATTTAAGCCAAAAAAAGGGACCAAATTGCAAAGGAAAGATGGGTTTTTTCTCTACATACCAGAAACCATTAATGCTGTAATAAAAAACCCAGATACGCTTTCTTCTTCTTCTTCTTCTTCTTCTTCTCACAGAGAAAGAAAGCCAAAAAAAAGAGGCTGGCTCAAGATGAAGACTTGTTCTTAATCTGGTCTTTGTTTCTAATTTTCAATTATTTATTTATTTTTTATTAATTTTGGGTGTTGGAGGTAAAGAGAGCATGCAATGCAAGTGCTACAATAAAAACAAGGACATCGGTAAACAAAAGTAACGTGGGCTTTTTTTTGTATTTGTAAAATTATAACAATATAACTGCCAACGTATCTTTTGTTTAATTTATTTGTAAAACAGTACTTTCCTTTTTTCTAATTTTACAGTGGGATATCGCGCGAGATACTCGAGTTCTTTTGAGCGAGACGCGGCGGGCGAGTCGTTGGGGTCACGTGATATGTAACAGTGAGAAGGCGGGGCCCGTTAGGTTATCTAGCACTTGACACGTGGCAGAGTGACGGCCGTTAGTTTGGTTAAAGAGCGTTTTAGCTTTGAGGCGTCTACGGTGTTTGGCGCGACTCCGGCGGAGTGCTCAAGGCCTGATCCCCACCCTTAAGTACAGACTAACACATGCCTTTTAATTGGTATATTTTTTTGCAGAAAATGCCCAAATGAACAGTAATTTGCAAATGGAAACTCTTTATTGCTTGTAGAGTAATGATAAGTATACTATAAAATTTATACACTCACACAAATAAAAAAGTATGGTTCATGATGACTCACAATTTTGCTCGACGATTTCTAAAAAACGACCCACGCATTTGTTAGTGAAAGGAGATGAGTAGTATAGAATTTATAATATAATTATCATTTTCCTCGCATACATGGTTAAATTGAGAAATTAATCGAATAAGGATTGTAGCTCAACCTTAAAATGTGAAATCTCTCGCAATTCAGATGAATTTGTTTATTACGCAACTTGAATTAATAGGTATTTGATAATCTCCTAGGAGTGTGAAAAAGCTAATCGAATATCATGATGTATTTTGTCATTTTTGACATGGAACCTCAAAAGCAGCTTTTCTAAGCAAAAAAGGAACTGAGCTAAATTTTGTATAATTGAGGTAACAATTAAATGATACTTACAAGTGGGATTCTATACCTTCATTACATGATCTTCATCAGACTGATGGAGATTGAATGTCGTCCTTGACACAGAGGACCTCCGGCGCTCTACCTCAAATACCACTGATTATTTTAGAATGCTCAGGGACTCCTATTTATCATTTAAAACTTGTTTTTCATCTTCAAAAAAACTCCAAAGAAAGTCTTAGATATTAATTAATTGAGCTTAAAACGCTCAACAGATTTTGGATTTATCGAAGATAGACCTCGCAAAGTAGTATGAATCTTATCAGAAACCTGTATGGTGCCGGACATTCTGGGCCATGTAGAGAAGCAGTGAAATACCAAAAATGCACCTAAAATAAAATTTGTATGGCTCAGAGCGTCCCGCACGGTACGGGGTATTTTGATAAGAATATACACACTCCTTAGAAAACATCGAGGCACAGATATCGATAATTGGCGTTTTCTGTAAGCACGGTTTTCGATTCAAACCTTACTTTTTATGCACGCAAAGCAGAAGATGATAAAAGTTATTATCTAAATTAGAAAATTGCTATGACGTCACTCATTTTTATGTCATTTTCATTGTTAATTTCTGTTTTGGTTTGGTCAATTAAGGTAAATAGGAGTCTTCCTAGAGAAATCTCATTATTGACAAAATACAACGAAGAGAAACAAATCTTTAATAGAATGATAAAATTGGATTCGGATCCTCTTCACTATCTAAAAAGTAGTGGAGGGATCACTACATAATCACAACCATTAATTATCTAGTTGGTGGTTGTGATTTTTTCTTTGAGTGCTAATTAGGAATGAGTGCAATACACGGGGCTATGGTGAGTGTTAGATTTAGATTGTATCATGACCGCCTACTAAGTAATCAACGATTGAGATTAAAAGTAGTGGTCTCTCCACTATTTTTTTGTAGTGGAAAGGATCCAAATCCGATAAAATCGGACAAAAACTATGAATTGGGATCCTCTCCACTACTAAAAAATAGTGGAGGGACCACTACTTTTGATCATGGTCATTGATTATTTATTAGGTGACTGTGATTCATTCTAAATCTAAAACTTATCATACCTCCATAAAACACACTCATTCCTAACTTACACTCTAAGAAAAATCATAATCAACCATTAGATAATCAACGACTATTATAAAGTAGTGCTCTCTTCACTACTTTTTTAGTAGTGGAGAATACCCAAATTCCTAAAACTATAGGTTCGATCTATGTACAAGGAATACTCAAGAATATCATTTTGTGGGATTATTTCAACTTCAATACCTTAAGTCTAGTCTAGTCTTATTTATCAAACCCTAAAGTTTAAAGGGAAAATTGTGTCTAGGCCCCAAAAAAATAAAGGCGATGTGACCCAGCCCCCCGTATTATTTTTTGTGTGTTAAAGCCCCAAATATATGAAGCAATTATTTTCAACCCCTATTTATATTTTCAAGGCAGCTCAGATAGAAAACTTTTTCCTAAACCCAAAACTACCCTCTCTCTCTCTCTCACTCTCTTCTCTTCTCCCTCTACACCGGCATCCTCAACTCTCTGTCAAGAACCAACAGCAACGGCAACCTCGACGGCGAGATTGATAGGTTCTTGAAGGGGGTTTTTGGGGAGTTGAGGGGAAAGAACCGACCCAGCCCCTTTCTCCCTCTTCTATTCCTCACTTCAGACCAAACCTAAAACCCTTCAGCATCCTCAAGCTCGGACTTAGGGTTTTTTGCTCTTCCCATCCCCAAAACAACGTCGTCGAAAGAACCGACTCTGATGTCGGAACCGAGCAAGAACCGAGCTCAATCTCGTCGGATTCCCAAAGCATCTGGAAGCAGATGAAGGAGATCGCTCTCTTCGCGGGGTCCGCCACTGGTCTGTGAATTTATGAGCCCCTCATGAGATGAGCCTGATCGACACCATGGTCATCTGCCAGGGTAACTCTCTGGAGCTCGCTGCATTGGGTAATTTCATTTAAGGGAAGAAAAAAATTACTTTTTTTCCTTTTTTGGGTTATTGATTTTGTTTTGTTTTGTTTTGTTTGAAGGTCCGGGGACGATGTTTTGTGATAATTTGAGCTATATATTCATGTTCTTGTTTATAGCTACTTCCAACATGGTTGCTACTTCACTTGCTAGAAAAGGTCAGTTGTGAAAATTTGAACTTATTGGGTATGAATAAGGATAAAGTGGATAGCTTTTTGTTTAGTCAGAATAGGCGAATATATAATGCTGGAAGTTTTGGTGTCTTTGTTCTTGGGAACATTGTGAATTTAAAGACTACATATGTAACATAAACTTCATAATATAATGTAATCATATGATCACTTTTTGTCTATTCCTGGGTTGGTAATTACACCACATTGTCATCACATATTCATGATTATGCCAACTCATCTTCTAACTGAGCTTATCGCCACATGATAGTCCTTAATCTTGCAAAACTTACAAATAATATTTGAATGAGTTAGATGTGTGAATGATCATTAAACATTAGTGCGTGTAATCTCTGACATTCAAAGGGTTTACAGATGCTTCACTCTTTACCGTCTTAAGAGTTTAACTGTGCCAATTTGCTATAACATCAACAACAAAAGCCATATCCTTGACCTTTATATTTGGCTGCATGAACCCCTCAGCTTTGTTAAGCATCATCCCTTTTATAGGATTTATCTTAATTGCTTATATAATGTCTTGCACAGAAGTCCACATTTTAACCATGCTAACTTGTGTCTTAACACACTACGTCTACAACATACACACAAGCTTGTAAACTCTTAACTTCTTGTAATTGCTTGACTGTTGGATATGCAAAATCTTAGTTATGTTTCCTATTTACTGACTGTTGGGATCTCTGACTGACCTGCTTAATAAGATACATGCTGGTTTACAGATATTTTTATCTCAACAAATGCATGGAATCTTTGCCTTGATTTTATGTCTATAGACATGGTATTTACACAAAGCAGCTGCATTTTAGAAATCTATATTTGGCAAAAATATTATTTCAAGTGTGTCCTGGTTATTTCATGTAACTTTGCACTTAACATCTCTAATATGGATTCAGGATAAAAATTTGGCACAGGATTAGATATCAATATTGTTGTTTGTTGCATTTGCTTATGGCGCAACATCTCTAATATGAATGTTTCTATTTACAAAGTTATTGGGTGTACGAGTACTAACTGGTTATTTCATGTAACTTTGCACTTTCCTCCTAGTTTGTTAACTTTTCATACTGAATGTTAACTTTCGCTGCTTTATGTTAACTTTCATCCAAACGTATTAACTTTTCATATTGAATGTTAACTTTCGCTATTTTATGTTAACTTTTATCCAAACCTGTTAACTTTCACTGCTTTGTTTTCGTAGAAGCATTTGAAAGAAGCTATGACCAAGTCTTTTATTTCATCCTAGATTATGAGAAGCGAAGTGTGTCAAGAGATGAAATCGAGATATTACCACCAATTACTACTAAAAAGATGGGAAGAAATAGAACTAGACGTATAAACAATAGAATAATTTACAAAAGTCCACTGAAATGTTCTTGATGCAAAGTTCAAGGTCACAATCAAGTCAATATTCATTCTCCGCATGAGCTTCTGCACTCTCATCGTCATCATGGGGTGATTGTCGATATACTGTTTATATGTCAAAAATCATTGGTGTAGTATGTTAAAAGCTTTGTTGCTCATTCCTTGGGATGTTTCTGATTAGCATTGTGAATCCGAATGGTTGTTGGTTTTCAAATATAAGTAGCAACTGATGTTGATCTGTGGTCTTATTAGTTTTTGGTGCTTGTAACATGTCATGTTTCATTGTTTAGTTGATTATACTATGTGTACTCTTTATTATTGTGTAGTTTCTCAAGAATTGCTTGTAACGTGTCATGTTTCATTGTTCAGTTGATTATACTATGTGTTCTTGTGGTTTGGTTGTACTTAGATCATAATTTAATAAAATGTATTGTGTCTATTTAATGATCAATTTTTGTGTAATTTATTGCGATTGCATGTGAAATGTATTGTGGATGTCATGTGAATATGTACAAGTTCATTCAAATAGAACTTGATGTGCATAATAAACTAAAAATTATATATAAA